ATTTATTAGTTTGGTTATCATATGGGAAATTATATTTCAATTTGTTTACGTAGAATAAATCTTGCTATTGTGGCCATGCATCTTGCTTGTAAGGATCTGTCATTTTATAAACAACTGCGGACAATATTAAGTTATCTGAGTGTACGGTCGTGGCCGGCATTTAATTTAATTATGTTGGGACTGATTTTTCACGGTTTGTTGGCTACATTCATCCTAGGTTGGTTGCGGAGAATATTACGATGACCGTCACAGGTCACATCACTTTTATGAAGACACATCGCAGCCTTAGACGAAATTTTAGTAGCAAATGCTAACAAACCACGCCATATCATCCCCAGTAAGACAAATATGAGATCCCATCATCACGTCGTAAGCATTCTCGATTAAATCGAAGGAATTTTGTAGAAGTGTTCGCGGGTTTTAACAAATTAACTTTTAAGAAGAAAACTATTTATTTACACTAATTATTATTGAACTTAAAAACATTAAATTATTACTAAACTTAGGTAATTATTCTATTTATTTGCACTACTGTTACTATTCACTGTTCTATTTATTTACTTCTATCACTGTCAATTTATTTCTTTTTTGATTCACTTCTGCAACGGTCAATTTATTTCTCCTCCTCTCTCGGCAATCGTCCCTTCATTTATATACTCTTTTGGGTCCTTTCTGGAACTTTCTCGAGCCGTCCGGAAAGGTTTCCTTTTCTTTGAACTGTTTAATTCCTTTCCCGGAACGCAGGTACGACACACAAGTTTATAGATACGGCGCACATGACGAAAGGCGCCCGCGGCTAATCGGCGAATCGATAAGCCGCTCACACACACGTATGCCCAATCGCACACAATCACGCTCGTGGTCGCTACAATATCTAGTTACGGTATTATACTGTCATCTAGTGATATCTGCAACTAACTGCATCGGCAAATTAATCTTCCCCAAATAGTTCTTCCGCCTTTTTTTCCATCCTTCTTTTCTTAGTACAATTCTAGTTAAGATCTTTGAAACATGGGAAGTTAAGATAATTATTCTAAATGTCTCGCACCTATCCATGCCTCTCTTTTTAGATATGGTGATTACCACGTTCCGTTTATAATCCTCTGGGACTTTTCCCGTCTCGTAAATGTGACTAACCAGCTTAAAGATACGGTTTCTAACCTCTTATCGTGTACGTTTTAAAGTTTCCGCCTGTATCCCATTTTTTGTTTTTGACGTGACAACGTCTTGTAATTCGATGGAGCCGGCTGCACGAACGAAAAAACATGACTCATGCGGCGTTACCTCGCTCTGAGGCGTTCCATTTAAGGCTTGAAGTTCAAGCGAGAGCGCGGAACGAGCGACAAAGAGGCACAATCGGCCTCCGCGTTCGGCAGCGTTCGACATCTGTCTCTCTCCTACTTGAATGAGCGATGCGTCCGCGTGGACAGCTGCTATACAATAATACATTTCCATTTACCTCCTTCTCTATATCCATACAAAATATCTATCAAACAAATAAAATTAAAATTTTCTTATGAAAAATGAAACCATTCCATCAGTATTTTCTTATGACGTTGTCACGTTCAACTATCGCCAGTAAACCGACTTTACAGACAACCGATTTTTTTTAATGCTACATCGAACTCTTCTCTTATTATGGGATAACCTAGTTCATCCATCTTCACACTATCTTTCTCCTAAGTCACGGCCTGCCTATAGATTCTTTAAATATTCTTTTAACGTATCTGCCTTTTCCTCATTTTCTATCAAAATGACTCCTGCCTCGTTTTTTATATTATTACTACTGTACCCTACATCTCTAAAATTCCTTCTAATTATATTATACGCCTCATCGGTTTTACCTACTTCAAACTGTTTTTTTACTTCTTTACACCTCATATCAATCCACTCTTCCTTAGCAATTCTACACTTCCTGATTATAAAACTACATTAAATGGAATTGAATATGTTTAACAAAATCCATTTATATCTACTTGCTGAAGTGAATCCACTGAGTAACTCACAATACGTAATGAGCACGTTACCAATACTGAACAAAGGAGTTCATGGTGATCAGTCTATGATCAGTTCGATTTTGATAAATTTGTTTAAATTAGTGAAGCTTTCCGTTCATCGGTTTCATTGATTTTTCTTTGTTAGTAATTGCAAAGTTTCTCGTTATTTTTAATGTTCCAGCTGTCCGTTTTCACGGAGAGGTATGAATTTTAAGTTTTTCCGTAACGGAGAAAAAGTCGACAAAGAGTTCCTTCAACTAATCAAATTCTAAACAGAATTGAAAAGTTTAATGAAATTGTTAACTTGCTCTAATTAACTTCAACTTTTTCATTTTCTTTGAATTTCGTATTTTCGGGTAGATACTTCTTATTTGAATAATAAATGAATCTGTAAATTTCATTCGTATCCCACGAATTTTAAATGAAATATCACAGGGACCTGAAAATGACACTTAGGTACAATAGTTCCTAATACTTTGGAGTTGAAATTGTTGCTTAATTTAAAAGTTATTTTCATTTATTTATTTCATCTGAAGATTATTCTACCTGGCTTTTCAATTTATACTTGTAGAGTGGTTTATTAATATTAATAAATAGGGTAAAGTTGGGGGAGATGGAACAGCTGGTGAGACGGATCAGTGCTTCTTACTCATATAGAGCACAAGTCATTTCAAACGGTTAAGCATGTGACCTTGAAAAAACTGGAGATAAGTATACTTCATTTACTTTCTCTAGCGATGTGCCCCTTCAAATGTCTTGAATGCGCGCTGGGAAAATCGTAGGTAGGGAGAAAGAACCTCATTATACTCTCGACTCTTGTTCATTAAACATACTTTTTCATACATTACTTGCCAAAAGTTTTGTTCAATCATGAATAGTAGTGCGAGTCGAAAACAAGCGTTAAAGCCTTTAATATGTCTTCAAACATAAAAAAACAACTCGTTGATATTTTCAGTAGTAAATGGTACCAATAACAGCACATTTGAGCAATGCAATTGTAATGGATAAAATGGTCAATTTTTCTGTGCAGTACTGTACGGATTGTACGGTCCTTACCGGTTAAGAGCTTTACCGAGAGTTGTCTCCTTCCTTTTCTGGCCTAGTGCTGTTCTTTTCTACTTTGCGCCGGTCAAACTGACGGTCACATCGCTACAGAAAGTAAACGAAGTATAATACAAAAATACTTGCTTTGGGTGTTTTATTCCCACCAGCCACTACTGCTGGTGGGCGGGCAGTCCTTCTGGACTACGCCGGAAGGTAGGACGGAAGGCCCTCTTCAGCCTCGTTTCAGGAATCGTAGGAATGGGTGGGTGGTGGTTCGGGTGAAAAAGATGAGACGAACTAAACGAAGGTAGAAGAGAATGAAAGATTATCTGTGGAATATTACTGCACCAGCATTTGGCTAAATGATCCAAGGAAATCACAGAAAAACTTGGACCAAGGCAGACGGACCCGGGATCGAACCGTCGTCCTCCCGAATGCTACGCAATGGACTAAATCTCTAGGCCAAACTGCTCGGTAAGACAAAATAGATAATACTAGATAAAATCTGATTGAATATGGAATTTGGTCACGGCACATCCAGGTAAAGGCAAGGGGCATATCTCTAACCGTTTGAAATGAGTTGTATATGTGTATGCATCATGTTCTTACAATAAACACCATTCTCTTCTGAGCTTCCTGAATGATAACATCTTTCCTACTTTCAAAATAAAGTGGCCTAATCAATCGTGTTGCTTTAATAAAATCCGAAATTCTTTTTAAAAATTAATAGCTGTACCAAATAATATCTAGTGATTCTTGCTTACTTCTAAGCTTGCAATTAATGGTTTATTTAGATACTCGAAAATAATTGTTAAAGGTGAATGTTTGGATCACGGCTTCGTACGGGTGCGAAACGTGGACGGTGGGCGCGGCGGAAAAGAAAAGGTTAGAAGCGTTAAAAATCTGGTATTATAGGCAAATGATGAGGATATAGCGGATAGAAAGGGTTAGAAATGACGAGGCATTAGAAAAAGTAAGAAGTCGGTAAGAAATAGGCGAGATAGGTTGGTAGGATACCTTTTCAGATATGAAGGACTTGTTAGAGACATATTAGAAGAATAAGCAGGAGTTCAGAGGAGTATAGGTAGACTTAGATTAGATTACTGTTCACAAACGGTTAAGGTTGTGGAATGTTCTAGTTCCAGAGGAATGCGGAGATTAGCTCAGTATAGGAAAGAGTGGAAGTGCGTGTCCAACCAGTCTTAGGACTGATGACTTTATGATGAAATTCCCAAACTAAATTGAGATACTTCTAGACCGTTGGCATAAAGATAAATTTGAGAATTATTCGCTTCTACAAAAATATGATTGATGAATAAATTACAGGGTAAATAATTACAATTAAGTGCGGAAAAATATTTTTTTAATTTATATCTTCAGGATTTTTATAATTGTTAAATAACATTTTCATAATATTACTCATATAAACACTTAAATAACAAATGTTATTCTGAAACACAATGGAAACTGAAAAATTGGGAATAATAAGCCTTCTTAAATATACCCATCTAACCTACTTCATTTGTTTTACTTTCTTAAAGTTTTATGGACTGTATGTAGCTGCTATTCATATGCAATGTAAAACGAGTACATATATATTACTCCAAAAAATAACAAACCCTCCTTGTTGTGAAGTAATCCTATTTTACTATTAGCATTTCTAAGTATAAAGCTACTTTTAGTTTTAGGGAAATGCGAAGATTAGGTCAGGAAGGAGTGGAGGTGCGTGTCCAACCAGTCTTAGGACTGACGACCTTATAATGATGATGAAATACTTTTATATTATGCCTCTTTTTTTTTAATAATTAAAAATATCTATACTCTCACTACATTCATAAAATTGTCCTTATAAAATTAAGTTAGCCATGCTTGGAACACGACAACAGTTTAGGCACTGAAATTTGGTAACTATTCTAAATGAAATTCTTTATAAAGAAAAATTCTATCTAAAATACTTACTTAGCCCTTAGGGCTAACTGCCTGTCATTTGGACACACAAACTTGTTCGTATTGTTAGCGCTTTCTTGTTCAAACATTCTCTTGTCTTTATCTTATTACAATTCAATTCCCGTACGGATAAAATCGCTCATTGTTTTTATTAAACGTCAAACATCGTGTGTCTCAACTCTTATCACAAAACTAAGCTGTGGTGGAAGATCGAGTGATGCATTCGTGACTTAACGCCACCGAAGAAGATAAACGGAATCGAAACTATTCGTGCATCTCCAAACAAACAAACAGTGTATGTGCGTACTTTTGAGAACGTAACAGGTGGTGACGTCGAGCGTCTATGGCGTCGACTTGCTACACCGACGCTTTCGGTTCAACTAGCGGCTTCGGATAGCCTGTTGCTCAATCGCGACGACGACGACGACGGCGACGCTGAACGTCGCGACACTCTGCCGAGATGATAAGGGTACGATCGATATAGAAATATTCGCGTGGAATTACGCACGGTTTTAACTTCCAATTATCTACGTGCTTTTTTGTTGTCAAGCTGATATAGTTGGGACGTACAACATTGGCATGGTCCGCAATAAAACTGTCGCATTATTCTTTCAACTTACTAGCTAGGCTAGAGCGGTTGCTAATTCACGACAGAGAAGAGATGCCAGATAGGATTTGCAGTGGACACTAATAAAGAAAAAGGAATAACATTACATCAATTGACGTGTAACAGAAAGAGATACAGGCAAGCAGTATTTGAGCATGTTGGCAGCATCGGACTTTAAAGAAAGTTCAACATTCTCAGGAATTTAGAAAAGCAAGACGCTTGTTTAAAGATATAATTCCAACTTGGCAGTTATAAAGCCGACCCTGGTCTTTTGCGTTTGTGTTGTCTTTTCCTACTTTAACTTTTATGATCCTAACATATTCAATATTTTGCTGTTTTCCATAATAGATAAGTCGGATTTCGAGTAAGAGAAAAATTTAGATTAGGGTATATCATTCCCACCAGCCACTAATGCTGGTGGGCGCGCAGTCCCTCCGGACTACGCCAGAAGGTAGGGCGGAAGGCCCTCTTCAGCCTGCATTCAGGATCAAAGATGAAACAGACGAAATGAAGACAAAAGAAAATGAAAGATTATCTGTGGAATATTACTATCCCACCATTTGTCTAAGTGATCCAAGGAAACCACAGAAAAGACCAAGGCAAATGGATACAGAATAGAACCGACGTCCTTCCGAATGCTAAGCAATGGTCTAAACCTCTAAGCCATGCCGCTCGGATAAGAGAAATGGGAAAACTCCATTTCGATTTTGAAATAAACGTGAAACAGTATGTAAACACAGCTAACAAATGAGAATAGGTAGATACATAAAATACAGTTTACATTTGATATGTATTCATCATAAGGTCGTCAGTCCTAGGACTGGTTGGGCACGTACCTCCACTCTTTCCTATCCTGTGCTAAACTTCGCATTTCCCTAAAACTAGAACAACCCACATCCTTAACTATTTGTGAACAGTAGTCTAATCTAGGTCTACCTCTAGCCCTCCTAACTCCGGTTTCTGCCTCTACTATGTCTCTGACTAGACCTTCATGCCTAAGAAGGTGTCCTACCAACCTATCTCGCCTATTTTGTATTGACTTTCATAGAGTCATCTGTTCTCCTATTAACACGCATTAAATGCTGTGATTCATTTTTATGTGCAATGAATCAGTTTGACAAAAATACGGCAAGGAATAGAGTGAACCACTAATTGTTTAAGGCTTTGCCTGCCCTGAATTTTTAAGCTTGAAATACTCCAAAATAATCATAATACAGGTCAGTCATCCGCAGATCTTTTTATGGAACGGCTTTCAACTCCACCTCTGAATAAATTTAAATTAATGTCGACGGCTGCGGGTTGTTATTCTCAAGGGATTTTTTTACTTTGAGCACGAACACTTAGCATATGAATGCCTATTTCAACGTAAAAATGATAATTTGGTTGATAGATATAGAACTGGAGTTGATATATACTTTCACTTCTATCCCTTACACATACCTATTTTCAGTCTCATTTCTCTGCAATGTAGTTTATTGTAATATTAGTGTTTAACAAAATTAAATTCTTAGAGTGATAACGACAAACTATTTATTTACACTAATTATTAAAGAACTTAGAAACACTATTAAATTATTACTAAACTTAAGTTATGAATTATTCGATTTATTTACATTACTGTTGATATATCACTATTCACTGCGCTATTTATTTCACTGCTATCACTGTCAATTTATTTCTAAATTCACTTCTGTAACGGTCAATTTATTTCTCATATCTCGGCGATCGTCACTTCCTTTAAATACTCTTTTGTTTACTTTCGAGAACCTTCTAGAAACGTCCGGATAGTTTACTTTTTCTTTGAACTGTTTAACTGCTTTCCCAGAACGCAGGTACGACACACACATTTACAAATACGGCGCACATGAAGAAAGGCGCCCGCGGCTAGTCGGCGAATCCATAAGCCGTTCACGAACACAAACACACTCGTGCTCCCTATATTATATTAGGTATACAAATTAATAAGAGACTTTTATTTTGCATGTGAATCATTTCGTATCAAAGTTATATAAATTGATTTAACTTGTGCCACTTGTTAGTGTATATCATTAGGTTCTTAACAACAGCGAACATCTCACAAACGAGCTGATATAAGCTCAAGAAAGAAATGTGCAGTATGTTTGTCGACAAGCAACATTTGAGACTTTTTTTTTGCGTTTCAATTAAAGAATAATGCTGCTGGTGCTGCAGCAATGATTTGTGCTGTCCTGGTGGTAAACGCTGTAACATAAAACGTATAAGGAATGGTATCATACGTTTAGAATGGGAGATTTTGATTTTTCAGACAGAGAACGTTCAGGTCAACCACAAAAGTTTGATGATGAAGAACTGAAAAAACTCTTAAGAGAAAATCCTATTCAGACTTAAGCAGAGTTTGCACCACAACCAGGTGCTACTCAGCAATGCGTTTCACACCTCCTACATCAACTTGATAAAATTCAAAAACAGGGTAGATGAGTTCCGCATAACTTGACTCCTGAAAACAAAGAGCGACGAGTGAATACGGCCAAGTTCAAAAGAAAAGATTTTCTTTATAAAATTATCTTTGGCGATAAAAAATGAGTGTTGTACGAAAACCCTAAACGTAAAAAATCTTGGGTGAATCCCGGTCAGCCGTCAACATCGACTCCAAAGACCAACATTCATTCACAAAAAGTGTTACTATGTATCTGGTGGGATATGAAAGGCGTAGTGCATTATGAGTTGCTGAAATCTAACGAGACTGTTACTGCAGACCTGTATCAACAGCAACTTATATGTTTAACTGATGCTTTAGAGCAAAAGAGGTCTTTCACTGCTAACGGCAATAGACAACTGATTTTGCAAGACGGTAATGGGCAGCCGCATGTTGCATAAGGTACCAAAGATGTCATCTGTGGATTGGGTTGATAGGTTCTCCCTCGGCTTATTCGCTAGACTTTGCCCCAAAGGATTACCATCTATTCCGATCGCTTCATCATCACCTGGTTAATAACTTCAGAACAGTTGACGAGGTCCAAGTAAGCATTGATGATTTTATTCTGTCGAAACCACCAAGTTTCTTCCGCGAAAGAATTCCTCAGTTTACCAAACGATGGAATAAAATCATTGAAACTAATGGAGATTATTTGGAGTATTAAATGTATCTTCGTTTGTTTATTTTTGTCTGAGGAAAATGCATTAAAGGATATTCTGGAAGTAGTCGACTACTGAAATGTCTGAACTAGCTAAATTACCGCCTACTTTTGATATTCAGTATCAGTCTATTAAAAATCCCTAATGTTTCGACGTGTTGGACGTGTCTAAATGAGAATATCCTTTTCTTGAAGGGTCACTGTTAAAACGTGTCTAAACACTCATCGACTGAATCATTAGATAAACTTACGGTGTGAAGGAACCCTGACTTGAATGTGTGGACCGCTTTGCACGGATTTAAATTACGTTGTGGTGGGAAAGGAATTCCTGTTTTTTTTTGTGTAGAGTACTTTACAATACTAATTGTTTATGTTAGATTATGGTAGAAAAAGTTTCCTTGATTGACTTGTGAGAAATGAGCTATTAACCGTGAGTTTATGTGTTTGATTATGGAGCAAGAGAATTGACTATGCACCAAGCGTTTAAGTGAGGTTATGGTATGAGGGCAACTCGATTTCAATAAAATGTATACACCACACTACTGACAATGCTACTCATTTGAATTTGAACTTACTTATCAAATGGAGACAGAAAGTATCAATAGAAAGAAACTGAAATTAAACAACAAACTATCCGAACAGTAGATCGATATTATTGAACGATGCTTTGTTTTATATCCCATTTATTGTGCTTTCATATGGGATACGTACACCAACCATACACTCCCATCAGTCATAGTTAAGCATCCACATGACTTACTTTCCTCGGTATTAGGAATGACATGAACTTTCGGATTCGCGAGCGGTGACGGACATTGTTGCATTCTCATTGTACATTATGGAAACAATAATTGGTCTGTTAACCATGAGCCTCGTTATACAACAGGCACAGAGCTCCAGATTTAAGATATAGAAATGCAAAATTCAACAAAGGAGTGGAGTTTTGTCATTGAACAATACAAAGCAGAATCAGTTCATGTCATTCTAAATTACCTCTACTACACCATTGAATAAAAACGTTCCTCTCCAAGGAACGTAATGAGAACACACCATATTTATTCTTGTTACAAACGTTGCCTCGTATGCCCGCAATAAATTGTTCAAATCAGAAGATTTACCACACCATTTTGCACCCTAAAGCGGAAATGCCAACTCAACATACATATGGCAATTTCCCTCAGGTAAAATTACTTGATATCCTTCTTTGTGTTCGAGAATTGTAATTTACTCCCTTTTCGCAAACTTCCAAATCTGTGGTGGTTCGTTGATATATACCTATGTTGTTTCTTGGGCGGGTAGTTATGTAAAGGAGTAATCCGTTAGATCAGCAGCTTTCATAATTGAAGTCGCGCTCGGAACGCTTCAAAGGATTTCTTCAATGAGCGTACGTGCATTGTGTGTGTATAAGTGTATGCTTATATGCAGGGTCTTAGTTTAGTACCGGAAACTTCGGTTTATACTCCAATAAACAACGCTATAAAGCTCATGACTGTGGCAGTTGATAAGCGCCGGCAGAATTTATATTAAGAGCCTATTTTGAGGTTCAAGAAAATCTCGCTTATTCAACTGAAAATTCGATTATTTCTCGGTCCCCTTTCTGATAATAGAATAGATTTTTCCATAAAATTAAACTTTGGGAAGTGATAAATAACTTCGAAAAAGTTGTACAAAACTGTATATAGTATGTGCCAAAATTAATTTATCTTCTTTGTTGTTTCCACTTGGAACTGTAGTCATTTGCTGCGTTTTCAACACACCCTTGTTATATGAAAATTGGAAAAACTTTGGCGGTTGTTGTAGAACAAACAGAAAAGCTCAAAACCCCATCGCCAAAACACGACACTGTAGTTGTCCGAAGCACTTTTCGGTAACAAAGTTACCTTCTTCAAGGACTGAAGTAAAACTGAATTTTACTCAGTACTCAGTTTAAGTAAAACTCAGTTTTTTTCACCTCTACTAGTTTTTCTTTTTCAGGAACTTAATTCTCCCTTTATCATCTCTTTTCCGATGTTTTATAAAGTCTGGTATTTTTTCGTCAGTTTAACGTGACAACTGCACAGGAAGTAAACCTTAACCTTACATTTCAAGGAATCAAAGGATAATAAAAGACAAAAGATTATTTTCAAAAATATACTTTATTAAAAATATTGCACTTCATTCCTATATTGCACGTTATTATTGTACTAATTTATAAATAAGCCATATGATTAAATAAATCACAAGTTATTATAGTATAAATTATCCCCTTAAAATTACAAGTCATTTAGCTACAATTACTCATATATCATTGCACTTAATATAATTTTTCGCCTTCTACAACCAAAAAGTTGATTGCTTGAAAAATTGTAAAAATAAAATAAAATTATAAAAAGATATAGGTAAAAATTAATAATAATTAAACGATAAATTAAATCGTTAATAATACAGTGGTGTATTAAATAAACCTTCTATTTACCGTTTTCACAAAGTACCTTAATATCTAATAATAAAAAAATATTGCACATGTAAATTTCTTTCATAACACATTTCTTATGTGGTACATTTTGTTTCATATTCATCTTCATCTCAATGTAACCACTTACCTACATTATTAATTAAACGAAATCACGAGGAATATATTTGTGACTTATTAACCCCCCCGCAACCTACGCCCCTGAATAGCTATGTACATACTACATACGCATAAATATTTGTATAAACCAACAACCTTCATGCGTTACGAGTAATACTATGTTTTTATTTCATATTCATTTTTAAATAAATTACACAAAATTAGTTAACGAAATTGTAAAATCAATTTTCCACGATACCTTGAGTCGATTTTGTCAAATAAAAATAGTGCGCGACAAAATAAAGAAACCGATTCAACATCCAACGTTATAATGACGTAAAACTAGTTAGTTTTCAAAATATTTTACATAACCTAAAAAATAAAACTAAAGGACAAAAGACGCTGTTCGATTAGCGACCGTGTCAAATGGGATGCGCACTGCCTTACTGCGCAACGATGAGCGCAACATTGCGACGCTTGCACCGAACATTGTCCCTATGCTCCTAATCTCTAGTCTTTCTGCGCACAAAATTCATAAAGCCCATTAACCTAAGTATCTGGAACCAAGTAAAACTTGACTGGAGTATGTAGGTACTACACTTGCCTTCAACTTTATTTCTATTTTTTGAAAATCATTCCTAACGTAGTGATGTTGTATTTTATTTCTAAGAAACTACATTTCCGGCTATATAAATTATGTTTAATTAGTATTTTGCTCATTTAAGTACATCTGAAGGTATTTGTTTAGGTTAGGTGCTTCAGAAATGAATATCCCTTCGATATGGCAAGGTTGGAATTGATTTCCGAACGTAAAATAGCACATTAGTGTACCAAAAGGGACAAATTTAATTCTGATTTCTCTATAAGCTGTATATGAATCATTGTGGTATACTAAGTGTCCATATTTCGATTCTGTTGTACCTGTGTTACAGTAAAAACAGTATATCATGGCAAGTATCCTAATGAGTTTTCTAAATTATTACTAACGTTTCGGCTGCTACCGTACCGTTGTTCATCAACGGACTTTTTGTCCTTATTCCTAGATTCGCTAAAGCTAGACCTCCGCGACTCGTCGGACTGACTGGGGATGGTATAGAGGCCATTCCTGGTACTATATAACTTGCTCTTTTCTGATTTCTGAGGCACGTAGACGGGATTATTCATGACCCTTGGGCCAATAGGTATCGGTGGAGGAATGCTGTTCAGTCTGTCCGACTTCCTCTTGTCCGATTTGAAGTAACCTCGATCTCTCGGTGTATACGACGACGACCTGTTCGAATTGGATCGTCTCCCTGAATCGATGTCGTAATCTTTCGGTGGTATGAGGTGGGTTATGTCGGTTGTTTGACTTAATTTGATGTCGGCAAATAAGGCGGCTATTTCAGCAGACTTCTTTACCGAAAGTGCTTCAGTACATCCGCCGGTTGATACTGACGTGGAACACACAGTCTTTCCTGTAATGGAAACAGGATAAGCAATAATTTATAATGAATTAAAACTGTTATTATGACGAAAATAAAGGATACACAATAAGGGTTTATTCACATTCACAAAATAGTGCAGGTTGTTGTATTTCGAACACAAATTTTGTTAAACGAGCCCTAACTAGATCAAAGTGAGGTTATGTAGTGCTACATGAGTTTGCTTTAGAATAAAAGAAGTTTGTTTTGTTTATTTGTTCTCCAGGGACAAGCGGTTCAACTTACATTTTCGGTAGACACTACATGAATAATAAACTGCTATCAAACATCAATGAGGATTATATTAAACAATGTTATATGACTTAATGATGTAGAAAATTATCCCTAAAGAAACATTTGCCTATTTGAACGTATGCAGTAGTAATGACATTCGATTCAGATCTGCTCCGATCCACTGATTCTGATCCTTAGAAAGAGTGAAGTAAACCGGCTTCTGAAATTTTAAAAGCCGCTTCCAGATCCCGGATATCAGTCGAATCGGTAGTATGAAACGACGAACCACTGCGACGAGCGATTTTTGAGTTCTTTTCGAAGCAAGAAAAGTTACAATTCGTTGTTTCATTACCACCAGCCAATAATGCTGGTGGGCTGGCAGTTCCCTCCAGACTACGCCGGAAGGTAGGGCGAAAGGCCCTCTTCAGCCTCCTTTCAGGAATCGTGGGAATATGTGGGGTGGTGGTTCACGTAAGAAAGATGAGACGGACGAAATGAAGACAGAAGAGAATGAAAGATTATCTGTGGAATATTATTACTACAGCATTTGCCTAAATGATCCAAGGAAACCACAGAAAAACTTGGACCAAGGCAGATGCACCCAGAATCGCTTTCAGGAATCGTGGGAATGGGTGGGTGGCGGTTCGGGTGAGAAAGTTGAGACGGGCGAAATGAAGACAGAAGAGAATGAAAGATTATCTGTGAAATATTACTGCCCCAGCGTTTGCCTAAGTGATCCAAGAAGATCCACAGAAAAACTTGGACCTAGATACACAGACCCGGAATCGACCCGGAGTTCTTCCGAATGCTAAGCAATGGTCTAAAGCTCTAGACCATGTCGTTAGGTCTCTATATTCGAAATACAGATACAACTATATAGACGGGGTACGAAAATACAAGATTCATTGGGAATCAAGAACTAAGTACTGAGCGGCATGGCCCAGAGGTTTAGACTATTGCGTAGCATTGGAGTCCGCGTCCGTCTGCCTTGGTCCAAGTTTTTCTGTGGTTTCTTTGGATCACTAAGGCAAATGATGGGGCAGTAATATTCCACAGATTATCTTTCATTCTCTTCCGTCTTCATTTCGTCCGTCTCATCTTTCTCACCCGAACCACCACCCACCCATTCCCACGATTCCTGAAAGCAGGCTGAAGAGGGCCTCTGCCCTACCTTCCGGCGTAGTCCGGAGGGACTGCCCGCCCACCAGCATTACTGGCTGGTGGGAATGAAACACCCAAAGTAAGTATATTTATATTACTTATGTCCAGCTTTCCTCAAGGTCACATGTCTAACCGTTTGAAATGACTTGTGCTTCATACTAGTAAAAAGCACCGATCCGTCTCTCCGGCTGGTCCATCTCCCCCAGTTTTACCCTATCTATTAATCATTACAAATCACTCTACAAGTATAAATTGAAAATCCAGGTAGAATAGTCTTTAGTTATGATCGTAATGTTTGAAATGATCCGGTGGCGCGACTCTTCAAAAGGATCCGAATGTTCAACGAGAAGGTTAAACGAAAAGGTCGGAATTTGAGTAACAAACAGAATTGGAAAAGTATTTAACTAAATTAGTTGAGAACAAAGCTGTGTGGAAGTAGGGTAACAGGTGTCCTTAGTGCGAGGCTGAATAAAAATAATAATTGCTGGAGGTGCAGCTGGTAGGTTTCCTGCGACCTCATGCTATTTCTGGAAAATTCAAATTAAATTGAAATCCATTATTTCACCAATTCATGCTTGACGATATAGTATGTATTTTATGAGTATTGAATTGACTGAGTTCATAAATTTGATTGTTATTTTTTTGCTTGCAAACGGATACACTGAAGCTACAAGAGTTCCTATCCGAGTTAACTCAAAATCTTAATGTAATCCTTATTTCCTTTTTTTTAATTTTTATATGGCAAAAATTTGAAGAAAGCAATATTTAATTTAACTGTAATAACATCAAGTGGTCGCCCATATTAATGGCGTCAATGAGCCAATAAAGACATCTGATATCATTGCGTTTTTATGGTGACAGAAGAATAACATTTTGTATAAAATACATCATATCTACCGGTTAAAGGCAAATAGTGTGCATACTTTGTAAAATGCAGGGATTTTTAAATTAGAACTTCTCGTGCGGTACCTGACCCTCAAGCATTTGAGGAATGAAATATGGATGATAATATTAGACGCTACGAGAGAGGAACGGCGGCTTCTAGTGGTTTGCATAAAGTAGGTATGACAAAGAAACATATTTCCTGTTTTAGAATTGCTCTTCTAAATTATTTTAAATGTCATTTTTGCCTTTCGGAATTTTCATGTTTTTTTAACACTAGGACGAATTAAATCTATTGTTCCGTTTTTTGGTCAATGCCAAACAGAAGACACGGGAAACCAAATTTACTTTGCGACGGTACACAATTTGCCTTGTGAGCAAAGTGAAATACTTGCTCATTTGATAGGAAATAGAGCTTATGAGAGATGCCACTGTGAAGTAATGTTTATAAATTTGGATGAAGGAGGCATACTACTCATCCGATTTCAAAAATTCTTTTCCAAAATTTTAAAACAGACCTTCCATTCAGTTAAAATGAAAAGACTTTTCGTGAAGAGCAATTATGCAACCAATATCAATGAAAAAACAAAAGGCCTGTAAAAATGTCCGCAACGACATCCACCTGAATGATGAAATAAAGTGCAGTGAAATCACGCACATTTCAAAACCAGAAACACCAGAAAGTACATTGTTGAATAACCATAGGAAATGTATCTATACTACTTGAACAGTCAGGGGGGGGGATGAAGTCTTTAAAAATACCACGCTTGGTTACAGGGGCGGACGAGAATTAGTTTTTCGTCACGCACTCAATATCCTCTAGAGAAATCTCGCACTTTTTCGATCTATATTCAAAACTTTCTGTTTACAAAAAAATAATTTAAAACCATATTTATGAATTACTACGTGAAAACTAAAGGGAAAGGGGGGAGGGGTCTCGGTACATACTACGGGTGGTCATCGAGGAAGGGAAAAGTTATAATAAATGGGTTACGTAGTACGTATGTACGTTCCCTTGTCTTAATTAAGTTGGAATGGATGTCTAAAGATTAGGAACAAAATATATATTGATATTAGAATATCTGGTATTATGTGATAACTTTTATCATCATTATCATCATCATAAGGTCGTCAATCTTAAGACTGCTTGGACACGTACCTCCACTTTTTCCTATCCTGAGCTAAACTTCGCATTTCCCTAAAACTAGAACAACCCACATCCTTAATTATTTGCGAACAGTAATCTAATCTAGGTCTACCTCTACTCCTCCTAACTCCCGTTTCTGTCTCTAATATGTCTCTGACTAAACTTTGATGTCTGAGAAGGTGTCCTACCAACCTATCTCTCCTATTTCTTATTGACTTCCATAGAGTCCTCTGTTCTCCTATTCTTTCTAATACCTCTCATTTCTAACCTTCTCTATCCTCACGGTATCATCCTCTTCATTCGCCAGTAACACCACATTTCGAACGCTTCTAACCTTTTCTATTCCGCTGATCCCACTGTCCATGTTTCGCACCCGTGCAGCGCCGCGCTCTAAATATACGCCTTTAACAACCTTTTTCTAGTTTCTAAATTAACCGTTCGCGAGCATAGAAATGACTTCTTCATATCGAAGGCAATACGAGCCTGCGCAATCCTCTGCCTTACATCCCTACTACTCCTTCCGTCCTGACTTATCTGACTACTTTCTTCTGATTTTTTGTCTCCTATCTTTATATTCACTATTTCCCTGCTTCTTCTTCCTTTGCATACCAGTATTTTTTTTGTTAGTCTCTAACTCCGCCTTGCTAGATGCTAATACTGCTATATCATCTGTAAATCTTAGCATACTAATCTTTTGCCTTGATCGCGTCTTCGATGTATAGATTAAAAAAAAATCTGGTAAATGTCTAGATGATGGCCCCCATCCCCTTCGTGGGTGGAGGTGGGTGGGATCGAAAGGGTAGGTCTCCCCCAGCACTGTACCATAAAAAGTTCGTGGCGGTCTCACCCCCATAAAAAATTATGTGGGTTAGATGGTGGTGAGGGTAGGGGGGGATCGAAAGAGGGTAGGGGGATCGAAAGAGGGTGGTCACCTGAGTAAAACCCCATAAAAAATTTGCGGCGGTCTTACCCCCCTAAAAAGTTATGGGGGTTGACAGTTGATTATTTTGACAATTTTCATACATTACAATTCAAATAAAATTCAATAAAAAAAATATTTTCAAGCGAGTGGAGGTGGGGGATCGAAAGAGGGTGGTCACTTGAACAAAACCCGATAACATAACCTAACCTAACCTAACCTAACCTAACCTACCCTATTGATAAAGCTATTTAAATAATGTTTTATATAACTTTCTCAATATTTTTATGTATTTTTCATTAGTTTTACCTTTGAATATTGTTTAAGAATGACTATATAAATATTTACATGCCTAGAAATGTATAAAAATTGGCATATTTATTAACTTTGAACCCCCATAACTTTATATGGCGGTGAGACCACCACGAACTTTTTATGGTACAGTGGTGGGGGGGGACGTCCTCTTTCGATCACCCCCATCCCCACCCCGAAGGGGGTGGGGCCATCATCTAGACCTTTACCAAACTTTTACAGTATTCGTTAATTTTTGCATCTCGTTTATATCTCACATTATAACCATTCGCACAAAATTAAACTATGGTTGGGTCTAGTTTGCACATAAACTTTCTCTGTTGCTCGTTTTCTCCATAAGTACTTTCTTCTTACTGTCATGTACGTGGGTGCCTTATTGAAACTCGAACTTTTACTATTTACAGTTGTCGTAAAGATACAGTTTTATCGGAGATTATGTTCCCTTTATTTCCCAACTCATCATATAAAATTACACCAGGGATTCAGCTGAATTCGGATCGATTACTGTTATTTCTCCGTGTATGTATACATTCAAACACATGTGGTACGTAATTGATGTATAAATCGAAACGTGTTTACATAATTACATGTTGCAATTCATCCTGCTATCGCATCAGCTAAATAATTCTCTTCAATTTTAGTTATATCGGACGCGTCAGCATTATCGATTGTGAGATTAATTTTGCTATGAGATTGTATGTACAACAGGTATGTACATCGCTTTTGAACAATGTGATAAATGTTTCCTTAATACAAGTATTACAAAGGCTACAAGCTGCAACAACGTAGTTGAAATTTCCAACAGTAGATAATGTTTAATGCATTATAATGAAAAAGAAACATGAAGTTTTAAAAATTGTCCAGTCGTAGCAACTCCATCCCGGGAAATTGCAACTTTTTAAAAGTCCAAGAGGACAATGACAGATTGCTATTAATCTAGGAAATCGATCATGGACTATGGAGGTCTATGGTCTATGTGAAATGAGAAAGGCTGGTGATAAATACAAGCAATTTTAAAATACTTTTTACAAAAAATCCTGAATTAGGTATTTAATTTTTTGGCAATTGTCTAGTTTATTAGCCACAGCTTCGATGACCGTGCATTTTACTAATGTTGTATAGGTGATTATGCTGATTATTTTATATATATACAAGGTCTGCTCAAAAAGTGTCGCTAATTTTGTGTTTTTTCAAAAATTATTTCTTTATTTATGAATATCTATATTGTTCCCTTCAAAGTAATCCCCACCACATGTTCTATACTTATGTCAACGTTGTTGCCCATCCTCGAAGCACTTCAAAAAATAATTTTTTGTGATATAGTTCAGCTTCTCCTTCCATGTCGTCTTTATCTCCTCAATCGTTGTGTAGCGTCGTCCATTCATGAGCCTCTTCAGATTCGGAAACAAGAGAAAGTCACAGGGGGTCAGATCTGGGGAATACAGTGGCTACGAGATTATTTGTGTGTTGTTATTTGCCAAAACTGTGTGATGTGTGAGCGTTATCATGGTGCAAAGACCAGTTTTCGTTCTTCCCCAAATTCGGGCGCTTCTAGCGGATTACGCATAATTTGCAGGTAATATTCCTTATTGACCGTTCTGCCCTGTGGCAAGAACTCATGATGCACCACGCCCCTGCAGTCGAAGGAAACTTTAAACAAAGTCTTCACATTCGACCTAACTTGGATCCCTGTTTTCGATTTTGGCTAGTGCGGCAGCATCCATTGGGATGATTGAACTTTGGTTTCCACGTTATAACCATAAACCCATCATTCGTTACCAATTATGACCTTTGAATGAATTTGAATCGTCGCGAATAGAATCCAACAGCTCCTCAGCAGTGTTAATGCGATGCTGTTGTTGATCGAAATTGAGCAATTTTGGTACGAATTTCGCGGCGACCCGTGTCATGCCAAATCATTGGTAAAAATTGAATGGCAGGTGCCAATCGATATGTTTGGGTTCTCAGCAACTTCTCTAATGGTGATTCGACGACTGGCCACAACTATTTTCTTTACTTCATCAATGTTTTGGTCTGTTGTTGACGTGCTCGGGCGTCCTGCACGCTCTTTGTCGTTCACATCTTCTAGGCCCTCAGAACATTTTGTACCACCGATAAATGTTTCAGCCCAAGGTAGCTTCACTATATACCACAGTCAACATTCGAAATGCGTCCGCACACTTAATTTTGTTTACAGATTCTTTGATCTATTTTTTGGCCGAACTTGTAGGTATACGTGAGAGACATGAGTACCAACATAACGCCACAAAAAAAATCGAATATCGAGTATACGTAACTCGCGGAAATTCAAAATTCGCAATACTTTTTTAACAGACCTCGTATGTATATGAAATGATCATCATAATCACCTTTACAACATACTAAAAATTCAACATTGTCGGACCTGGGGCTGCTAAACAATTGAAGAATTGAAGTAATGTAGCGTTAGGTGTTGGGCAGATCATCGATTTATCGTTCCTCTTGCCAGCTGCGTCCACCGGTGCAGATATGTTCATTGGCCGATCGAACGGCTTGCAAATCATGAATACAAATTAAAACCTAAGTTTATTTTTAACTTTCTCTCAGCGACGCAGAGGGTGCAATTACTCACTTGATCTGATTAAAGAATTGTCGCTGCTTTGAGAGTAGGTAAGGGCTGCATCTCGCTGGTTTGTGGATATACTTCATTTACTTTCTCTAGCGATGTGCCCCTTCCAATGTCTTGGATGCGCGCTGGCAAAATCGTAGGTAGGGAGAAAAAAGCTCATTATACTCTCGACTCTTGCTCATTAAACATACTTTTTCATACAGTACCTGCCAAAAGTTTTGTTCAATCATGAATAGTAGTACGAGTCGTAAACAAGCATTAAAGCCTTTAATATATCTTCAAATATAAATAAACATCTCGTTGATATTTTCAGTAGTAATTGGTACTAATAACAGCACATTTGAGCAATGCAATTGTAGTGGATTAAATGGTCAACTTTTCCCTGCAGTACTGAACGGATTATACGCTCCTCACCGGTTAAGAGTTTGTCCGAGAGTTGTCTCCTTTCTTTTTTGGCCTAGTGCTGTTCTTTTCTACTTTGCGCCGCTCAAACTGAAGGTCACATCGTTACAGAAACTAAACGAAGTATACCTTTGTGAATAATATCAGCCATAATTTGAAATCCGTGGAACAACAATAAATGAATTAAGACACATATATAATATGCTTTAATTGGCCACTTTATAAATTGAGAGATCCTGACATTTATAATATGGGTTTAATTCCATTTTCGAATTCGGGTACAATTTTGAGTATAAATTCATACAAATTATGTATAATTAGAACCGGAAACTAAAGATGCCAATACTTTAGTTAAACAATGTGTAATACAATCTTAGATGTACAACAAACAAAACAAAACGATGAGTTTTAAAACGGAAACCAAAGTTACTTTGATTGTTAGATTGCTTCATAAAATCTGAAAAAGTCAGCTGACGGATCAAATATTCCTTTTACTCATGCAAAATTTGCAGCACAGATACATTATTCGTTAGAGTCTCTGTTTTTCATAATTTGTCACCCTTTTTCAATCGAACTGGTGTAAAGATTCCAACTTGAAGATTTACTGATATCTATTTCTAGATTACAGAAACGTACACCTAAACTTAATTGTCTAAACTTGAAGTTATAATGTTTCATCTCTCTTGATAGACAGCTGTTCCGAAAAACACAAAAGAATATTTCTATTCATATATCTGCCCAACGTTATAAGAAGTCGTCACATCGTTACTTTACTTGTTTTATCTTCTCGACATAAAAATTTCACTTCTATCACGTGCACTAAGGTGCACGCGTCTTATTTTTTGCAGTCAGAAGCACAAGAAGAATGTAAAGTCGCATCATCTTCTCAGAATTTTGTTTGTGTCTACGTTTTTAACTATAGGGTTGTTCGGAAAGTCATTTCGTTTTTTTTGTGGAAATGAAAGATAGTTTTCGTATAATAAACAAATACTTTATTAAATTATATATTCGTTCTGGTCCAACACCTTTTGCCATCTTTCTGGTAGTAGCATAATTCCACGCTCATAAAATTGTTGGTCTTTGCTGGCAAAAAACTGATCGAGGAGGTTTTTGACCTCCTCATTTGAGGTGAAGGTTTTACCGTCTAAAAAATTTTGGAGTGACCGGAACAAATAATAATCCGATGGTGCCAGGTCTGGAGAATATGGTGGGTGTAGCATTGTATCCCATTCAAGCTGTAAAAGCTTTTGGCGAGTGACCAAACTTGTGTGAGGTCTCGCGTTGTCTTGGTGAAACACTACACCTTTCCTGTTGATTAGTTCTGACCTTTTCTGTTGAAGTGCATCATTCAGTTTGTCCAGCTGATGACAGTAGACTTCCGAATTAATCGTTGTGTTATCCGGTAAAAGCTCAAAAAAAACGATTCCTTTAAAATCCCACCAAACAGACAGCATCACCTTTTTTTGGTGAATATCGGCTTTGGAAATGGTTTGAGCCGGTTCATCTTTTTTGCTCCATGACCTCTTGCGTTTGACGTTGTTGTATACAACCCATTTTTCGTCCCCAGTGATGATGCGCTTCAAAAACGGATCATTTTCGTGACGTTTGAGAAGCGAATCGCAGACGTCAATGCGGCGACACAGATTTCTCTCTGTGAGAACATGGGGAACCCATACATCGAGCTTCGAGGATAATCCCAGGCCTTTCAAGTGGTCATAAACTGTTGAATTTGATAAATTTAACCTCAATCCGATCTCACGTGTTGTTATTCGCCGGTTCACATCAACTAATGCCTTTATCGCGTCTTTATCAGCTTCAACCGGCCTTCCCGAACGTGGTGCATCTTCGACATCAAAATTGCCGGATCGAAATTTAGCGAACCAGTTCTGGCACTGGCGTACTGTCAACACACCTTCTCCATACACATCAGTCAATTTCTTTCTGGCTTGAACAGCATTTTTACCCTTTCTGTAGTAAAACAGTAAGATATGTCGAAAATGCTGCTTATCGCTCTCCATATTTAAAAGGGCACCAACCAAAAACTACTGCGTAGAATTAATTGGAATTTTTCACACACAAGCCTTGCTATATGAGCTCTCAAAGCATATAAAAATTATACGGCTTAAATGTGAAGTTGGGTGCAAAAGAATACAATTAAATCCTCTGTCGGGAAAAAACGAAATGACTTTCCGAACAACCCTATACGTTTGTTTAAAAACTTACCGGTTTGCTTTGAAGTAACGTATTTGGTGGCACTTTGAAATGATCGGATCGATGGTGCTTTACAGAAGCTGGAAGTATTTCCACATTCGCTCATCGCCTTGTTTCTTCGATAGTTCGGGGAATTCATCGCATTCTTACCCGTCCACACGTCCATGTCAAAAGCCATGTTATCGTAACTGCGTCTTCGGGATGGCAGCACGTCGTTTTCGTAGTGCTTGACGATCTTCGAACGGAGTTTCTCGTAATACTGTTCGGACGGTTCGTGGACATATTCCAGACTCCGAGTACTTTTCGAATTGGAAACTTTCTTACACAAATTCCGATGAACATCTTGGTATTTAGGTTCAACTGACGTGCTGTTTCCATGCCTTAAACCAAGAGGAATGGATATATTGAAACAAAAAATAATTCAATAAACTACTTTACATGTATGAAAATTTTCATCAATTGGAGTTAGAGCAACGTTATTACTGTTTTATTGGAAGAACAATATTATTGGGCTCATGGTACTATGTTTAGGTTTAAATTATTGCAGGTGTATAGAAATCAGGTGTTGCCACCTCCACCCTCTCACCATCGATTCAATATTACGTTAGATATAAAGATATAAAGAGGAGGGATGTTAAAAATTTTTGGCACACTCTAAGCACCCTCCACCGCCCTCTCTTCCCCCTCTATCATATATTACATGAAATATTTGCGGCTTGGCAATTTTTAAACAATTTTCCCCTCTCAACCTTAGATCTTCCAGAATCCAAAGGAAGAAAAGGTGGAGCGTGCGAAGGGAAGCGGCTTGTTTAAAATTTGTATGCATTTTGTAACACTGAGATCTATCGTCCCTGCCCCTATCCTATCCTCATTTAAATGATTTATGAGATATCGGTAAATTACTCATCCCGCAAACATTTTTTGTATGATTGGATCGAGGGAGGTGGGAGCGGAGGAAGTGGTTGTTTAAAAAATCTTGTGCCTTCGGCTACTACCTGTCGGAAATTGTGTGAAGAAATGCACAGACGCACGAAGAAGCGCATAAATGAGGGAAATCCGTACCGGTGTTCGGCATTCCGTTGGTCTTATTGGTCATTGTTTTGGTTATATGTCATCTATGGTGGTAATCGGTGGTTATTAGGGTACATGGATTTTTTCCGTAAATACTAGCAAGGCACGACTGCGGACCGAGTGGCATGACCTAAAGGTTTAGACCATTGTTTAGCATTCCGGAGAACACCGGTTCGATTACAGGTCCGCCTGCCTTGGTCCAAGTTTTTCTGTGGTTCCCTTGGATCACTTACACAAATAATGGTGCAGTAATATTCCATAGATAATATAATCTTTCATTCTCTTCTGTTTTCATTTCGTCCGTCTCATCTTTCTCACCCGAACCACCACTCACCCATTCCCACGATTTCTGAAAGAAGGCTGAAGGGGATCTTCCGCCTTGACTTCCGGCGTAGTCCGGAGGGACTGCTCGCCCACCAGTATTATTGATGGTGGGAATAAAATACCCGAAAGGTTTTTTTTTAAGTTTACGACTGCAGCTTATTACAGTTCAGTGGTACAGCTGATCTATTGGTACACCGTAGGTCCGCGTTCTAGTTTTCACCAACGTCGTGGGTTTTTCCTTCCTTTAATCTGTCTACTTATTTGTTACTAATTTTTTTTTTTGGACGGACATACTTATGATCATAAGGTTTCGGTACGAAAAGCTAACATTAACGAAGTGGTGTGTATTTTCTTTTGTTTGAACTAAATTAACCGAATGGGAAACCGAAACAATTTACATTTCAAAGTAATTTTGTCCTTATTTATTCTTCTATCCTATTCTAATAACTTTTGGAGCATTGTTTGAAATTTACCCCGTTGCTACTGTGACGCTACCCTAATTTAACGTACTTTGTCGGACACTTTCTCACTACAGAGATCGTACTCCTTATCTCTACCCTCCATATTTATAATAATAAGGGACACTTAAGGGATGAGTTACAAAGATAGAAGAGTGATACTTAGTTTGTATAAAGAGCAACAGGCAGTTATAGAGCTAGGGATGCAACGTAGAGAAGTAAATATTACGAAGGGAGTTAGACAGGGATGCACACTGTCATCGCTACTTTTTAATCTATACATCGAAGACGCCATCAACATCATTAAAGACAGTACAACTGTAGGGATAGATGTGCAAGGGCAAAAGATTAGTATGCTTAGATTTGCAGATGATATAGCAGTATTAGCATCTAGCAAGGAGGACCTAGAGATAGCTTTAAATAAAATGGAAGCGGTACTGACAGATCAGTACTGTATGAAAATAAATAAAAGTAAAACTAAAATACTGATATGCAAGGGAAGAAAAAGTAGGGAAAGAGCGAATATAAAGATAGGAGACGAAAAATTAGAAGAAGTGGCTGATTTTAGATACCTAGGAAGTCAGATAAGTGAGGATGGAAGGAGTAGTAGGGATATAAAGCAGAGGATAGCGCAGGGTCGTGTCGCCTTTAATAAAAAGAAGTCACTTCTATGCTCGCGAACGGTTAATTTAGAAATTCGAAAAAGGTTGTTAAAGGTGTATGTTTGGAGCACGGCGTTGTACGGGTGCGAAACATGGACAGTGGGAGCGGCGGAAAAGAAAAGGTTAGAAGCGTTCGAAATGTGGTGTTATAGGCGGATGATGAGGATATCGTGGGTAGAAAAGGTTAGAAATGAAGAGGTATTGGAAAGAATAGGAGAACAGAGGACTCTATGGAAGTCAATAAAAAATAGGCGAGATAGGTTGGTAGGACACCTTCTCAGGCATGAAGGTCTAGTCAGAGACATATTAGAGGCAGAAACAGGAGTTAGGAGGAGTAGAGGTGGACGTAGGTTAGATTACTCTTCGCAAATAGTTAAGGATGTGGGTTCATCTATTTTTAGGAAAATGCGAAGTTTAGCTCAGGATAGAAAAGAGTGGAGGTACGTGTCCTACCAGTCTTAGGACTGACGACCTTATGATGATGAAGGGACACGTTTGTATACGAGGGTGGATTGATAAGTTTCCGGCCTGACCAAGAAAAACAAGGTTTTTAAAAATTTTTTTTTTATTTTCTCAAAAATTATACGGCTTAAATGTGAAGTTGGGTGCATAGCGGTGTTCCAGTCTATTAATGCCATCTCTATAGACTGATTCGTCAAGCTCCTCAAAATAACCATTTACAGCTTCGATTACTTCTTCATTGTCCGCAAATCTCTTACCGCCAAGCCATTTTTTGAGATTAGGGAACAGAAAATAGTCACTCGGGGCTAGGTCTGGAGAGTAAGGAGGGTGCGGCATCAATTCAAACTTTAGATCGTTGATTTTAGCCGTCGCAACGATTGACGTGTGCGCTGGTGCGTTATCGTGATGAAACAAGATTTTTTTCTTCGCCAGATGAGGTCGTTTAATTTTCACCTCGTGGCTCAAACGTTGCAATAAGTCTGCGTAGTATTGACCAGTGATAGTATTACCCTTTGCAAGGTAATCAATGTATATAATACCTCTTGCATCCCAAAAAACAGTAGCCATAACCTTGTTCGCCGAAAAAATTGTTTTTGCCTTCTTTGGAGTTGGTTCCCCTGGTCCAATCCACTGTTTAGACTGTTCTTTGGTTTCAGGAGTGTAGTGGTGGACCCACGTTTCGTCAACGGTTACGAATCGACGCAAAAATTCGCTTGGATTACGCTTATACAATGACAAATTTGCGGTAGAAATGTTTTTTCGAATCAATTTTTGGTCGACTGTTAGCAAACGCGGCACCCATCTTGCACAGAGCTTTTCCATATGCAAATGTTGGTGCAAAATATGTTGCACACGTTCATATGACATCTTACAGGTCTCAGCTATCTCACGCACTTTCAATCTGCGGTCTCCCAGCACTATTTGATGAATTTTTTCGATCATATCTGGAGTTGTGACCTCAACGGGGCGTCCTGAGCGAGGCCCATCAGAGGTGCTCACACGACCCTTTTTAAACTCGGAAACCCACTGCTTAACGGTTGAATATGACGGGGAGGATGTCCCCAGTGTTGAGTCCATCTCTTTTTTAATTTCCTTCGGCGTTAACCCCTTCAAATAAAAGTATTTGATGACAGCACGATTTTCCTGCTTTTCCATTTTTACGAAAACCACAGAGGCGTCTTGTTCAGCGTGCTGTCAAACCTACACTAGCAAGGAGATCGGGCTGAAACTATAGCTACAAGCTATCCAAGGATGGTACTATAGAATGTCACCTCAAGGTAGGCCTAGTGGCGTCATCTCTTGGTTAGGCCGGAAACTTATCAATCCACCCTCGTACACCGTCATGTTTTCACGAAACCATGACGACTAAACTGACTGCCCCCCCACAATATCAGCAACGTCTGTCTCGCATTCGTGGGCGTAAACATTCCAGGGGTCAAGCTATTTCTGTCATAACACCAAAACAAGGTCCACTCTTTCGTATACAGTATATTTTTATAACATTCAAGAATATGTTGCGTAAAAAACTGTTGAATATTAAAGGAATGTATTTTGCATGCTGCCAATTGAAGTCTAAATTTTCTTGCTATTCTTCTTTTATTGTCATGTACCCTATTGTTGGCGGATAAACATAAAGGAAAAACATCACAAAAGAGTTCCGTTGCTCCGAGTTGAAATTTGTGCAAATAACTTTTTTTTTTAATAAAAGGGAAGTCGTACAAAGCTCGAGTGGACCGACTGAATTGCAAATGAAATCAGCTTAGGTTACGCTTTGATACGGCATGAATTTTAAGTTATCTTGACATCAAAGTGTACACGTACGACCATTGTCGATTTCCAATTTGTCAAAAGTTAAAAAACAAAGAACAATAACCTTTAATGAAAATTTCATGTGAAGAATGTAGGTGACTGAAATCAGTTCCAATAAATTTTTGCTCATATTCCTTTGTCCTTTCAGACTTTTTATGAATTGAAAATTGACTTAAAATTACATCTTCGTAAAACCTTATAATTGTCCTTTATTCATTGCAAGGCATGATAGTTCAAGTCAATTTCTTACTTTACGGTTAAACAGAGTCGTTTTAAACAACACAAAGAGATCCTACAGTGGGTGAAGTTTATTTTTTTATTCATCAATATCTATTTTGTCCCCTTCAAAGTAATCCCCACCAAATATTATGCACTTGTGCAAACGTTTTTTCCAATCCTTGAAGCACTTCAAAGAATCATTTTTTGTGATCTTGTTCAGCTCCCCGTCGATGCCGTCATTATCTCATCAATAGTAGCGTAACGTTGTTCTTTCACGGGCCGCTTCAGTTTCGGGAACAAGAAAAAGTCGCAGGGGGGAACATCTGGGGAATATGGTGGTTGCAGCATTATTAGTGTGTTGTTTTTTGCCAAAAATTCGCCCACAAGCAACGATATGTGAGGAGGGGCGTTATCATAGTGCAGAAGCCGATTTTTGTTCTTCCACAAATCCGAGTGTTTCTGGCGGATTGCTTCGCACAACTTGGGCATAACTTTCAAATAATATTCCTTATTAACCGTTCTAGAACTCACGATGCACCACGACCTTGTAATTGAAGAAAACTGTAAGCAAAACCTTCACATTCGACCTAACTTGGCGCGCTTCTTTTTTGACTCGTTTGGTCTGTCTTGACTCGTGCAGCAGCTTCCATTGAGGTAATTGAGCTTTGGTTTCCACGTCATAACCATAAAGCCTTTGTCACCAGTTATGACCCTCTGGAGCAAATTTCGGTCGTCGAAGACAGAATCCAACAGCTTCTTAGAAATGTTAATGCGATTCTGTTTTTGGTCGAAATCGAGCAATTTTGGTACCAATTTCGCGGCGACTCATCTCATGCCCGAATCAATGGTAAAATCGAATGGCAGGAGCCAATCGATATGTTTAAATTCTTAGTAACTTCTCTAACGGTGATTCGACGAGTGGCCACTTTTGTTGACGTGTTCGGGCGTCCCGCACGCTCTTCGTCATTCACATCTTCTAGGCCCTCTGAGAACATTTTGTACCACCGATAAACGTTGCTTCGGGCCAAGGTAGCTTCACCATATGCCACAGTTAACATTTGGAATGCGTCCGCGCACTTAATTTTGTTTTTCACACAAAATTTGATAGAGATTCTTTAATCCATTTTTTGGTATAGGTAAAAATCGAAGACGAACCAAAACACGTGCAAGCAAAGCAGCTGTCAAAAATTAACTGAACATTCAACATGACCGAACTTGTCGATATTAGTGAGAGACATGAGTACCAACATAAGCCCACAAGAAAATCGAATATACGTAACCCAATATGATTAAGAGATACACAGAAGCTACAGGAATAAAAATTGTTCCTGACGTCGACGCAAGTATATAATGACTCCTGGATCTAACTGAACAAAGTCAATAATAGCATAGGTACCTTGTATTTTTTCGTCGTTCCCCTTTTTTACAGTAACATTTGTTGCTATCTGAACAGCTGTCGGTATCACATTCACAGTAAGTAAGAGACATGTTGCCTTCCATAGGCTTCCAACTGCAATAACACTTATCATTTAACTTAGTCAAGTGACATCTCTTGCAGTTTCTATACGAAGGAACCCTGTGGTGTTTTTCTGATTGGTTTCGATTGCCTAAAAGAAAAATTAGAACTTGCTATACTTCGAAATAATTGCGTTTCATATACACAACCTTTAATAATATACACAACATATAATAATATGATTAAATTTTGTTTGTTTACTTACTTACCTAACGAACAATAGCATTTATCTGCCGATGCGCATGTGCATGTGTCACTATCGTAACTGCATTCAGAGCAGGAAACATAACCACTGGATGAGTTTCTATTCGGATTCGACCCTGTTCCCGTCGGATTGGATGGGATGCGACCTCTTGCCCTTTGCAAACTAAAGAAGTCGCTTTCTTCTGATGTACTAATCCTTTCCTTGGACTGTTGCCAACTGTGAACCGATCATTAGTAAATTACATTTTCTATTTCCTCTCCTTGGTAAAAATCAGAGCCAATACAGTACAATATTTATTCATATCATTATACCAGGTTAAAACTTAAAACTTTTAGGTGTTTCATTCCCACTAGCCAGTAATGCTGGTGGGCGGGCAGTCCCTCCGGACTACGCCGGAAGGCCCTCTTCAGCCTGCTTTCAGGAATCGTGGGAATGGGTGGGTGGTGGTTCGGGTGAGAAAGATGAGACGGACGAAATGAAGACGGAAGAGAATGAAAGATTATCTTTGGAATATTACTGCTTCGGCATTTGCTTAAGTGATCCAAGGAAACTACAGAAAAACTTGGACCAAGGCAGACGGACCCAGAATCGAACCGGCGTCCTCCCGAATGCTAAGCAATGGTCTAAACCGCTCGGTTATACCACGTTTCATCTCGCGTTGCTATAACTGCAGTACCTACCTACAGAAAGCCTCACCATGGTAGGAGAAACCGTTGGTGTTGGTGGTTCTATATTGATATAAATAATACCTTGTTAATTGGCTCTGATTTCTATCCATTAACAGGTTATATTTATTATCGTACCTTTTGAGTTCTGACATTCCAAGGTCTTTGTAGTTTCGAATTCCACCGTTACTATGCTTTTTTTTGTAACTTGGCCTCCTCATCACAGAAATGGAGTGTTCTTTGGGCCTGAATTGTCTTGTGTCGTAGGAAGACGTGGATATGCTGCTTTCTGGAATTTTTTCGTTCAACCTTTTCGACATCCTCAGTTTATTTGCAGCCTTCTGCATGTCCTTCTTCTTGAATTTGGTCTTCAACTTTGCCTTTATCTTCTTACTAAAGATGTGCTGAATACTTTTCAGCTTTGAACTCACAATACTGGCTTTCTTCTGTCTGCATAACAATAAATACCATTAATTAAAAGCATAATGACCACTAAAGCATTTGTTTGGACAAGTTATTTACGAACCTGTACAACGGGCTCTTTGTTCTGAACGATTTCTTCTTCTGTTTCTTCATGATGGCCTTTGATCTTTGGAATAGTTCATCTTTCGTGAGGGTGAGGGCTAGTTTTAGCAGAAACTCTTTGTAAATGGGTTTGAGATCATTAAAAGACATTCCTTCGGGATCTATTATGACTCCGAGAATTTCGTCGATCGAATGAAGCCCTTCTTGGAGCCGGAATTCGTTGAAGAGTTCGTGGAATCCTAAGGGCGATCCACCACTTGCTTGACCGTTGGCCCTTAAAATGTTTATCTATTATCTAATAAATCTGTGTTACGTTAAGGCGAATCCTTACCTATTTAGTTTTGATTTGTATTTCGTTAAACCGCCAGCGTTCAGAAAGCTTCCAGATCGAGGAATGGTGACCTTTGTGAGAATGTCACCTTGGTTATCACCCTCTGCGTTTTTTCGAAGGTTCTGGTTACGTGAAACAGATCTTGACATGTCATTATGTTGGGCGTTGTTTGAATGTTTGTTCGATGCATTCTCATCTCCACCTCCAACGGCAGTATTGACATAGGAATGTTTTTCAGTTTTCGCTGTATTGAATGAGTCATGGACTTCTTCGTAGGGCGTGATGGCATCAAGATCCTCAGGTTTGGGCAAAGGGACGGTTGGAGCCCTTCGTGTTTTTGAGCTTTTCTTAGCATAAAGGGAAGACTTGTTAGCAGTTAGTAAAGGTCGACTGTCATCAATCTAAGGAAGGAATGTAAATATCAAGTTAAGATATTGGTTCGTTTTTAACGTTTCAAGAATCAAATTTTCTTGACACTAAATGTATAAGATGTATCGTATCTTATAAATCATCGGGAAAGGACTAATATAGGGAATATAGGGATATAGGAGAGATAATCTTACGGAAGAGTGAAACTTGTTCGACGATCAAGCATTAAGAGCAGGAACTGTTGCTTATCAATGTCTACCGTCTAACTGATTTGAAGGTCAAGTTCAGGTTACCACAAGATGAATAAAATAATTCGAAGTGGTCTGTATTCTGTCGAAACTGTCAGACGCGGATCGCGATTTCGATCTTTTTGGATCTCATCAGCGCGTCGCAGG